TGTAACAAACCAATTAAGCAGTGGTGTAATCTCACTGCCTCTAAGAAGCGCTAATCTCATTCCACCAGACTTCTTTTTGTGGGATTACCTTATGAGCAGAGTATACTCAAACTCTGCAGCATTCATCCATCCTGAATCCATTTTGAGGACACTCTAAGGGCTGCACACGACGCCGCCACCGCGCCGCCGCCGCGCTATCGCCGCGCCGCTACACTGTTCATACGCACCGAGTAAAACCGCCACCGTGCCGCCACCGCGCGGCGTCGTGTGCAGGAGCGCTTACGAAAGTTTTCCAAAATTTTGATGTATGTTGACCGAATGTTGTAAACGTCAAGGGAAACACATGTACGATAAAATTTATAAAAGATAGTAAATTTTAAAATAAAATGCACTAAATTTCCTTTAAATTGCAATAGCTAAAATTCTACAAAAATGTACAGTTTTCGTTTCCTTGAATTTTAAAAAGTGAATTTTCTTCTGGGCCACCCTGTAAGACAATATACACGAAGTTGTGGAGAGATGGTGCTCGTGCTAGGCTCCGAAGATCCTGTGTTACGAGTTTTTTATTTTATTTTTATTGAAACAATATTGGAATATTTTAAAATTCATGATCACATAAGTACTAAGTATATATTACAGTGCGTTTATTAATCGTTTATTTATGTATGGATTGGGTATACGTAGAATAGGCTAGTATCCTAAAAAAATTTTTTTAGTCCGTAATGTTTAATATCAAAAAATATTGGACACATNTGATTCTAGCGCTCGCTCTATTGTTAATTAATCATTTAGTTTCGATAAAAATAATGAAATATGAAAATAAATTTAGAACAAATTTTATATTAACTACCCTCTGAACAAAATAATAACCACAAGCTAATTTGTATTCCATTCTATGCACCAATCAAATTATTTTGTAAATAGTTTATCGTGAAATATTTTTGCCAAATGAAACATTTGGCAAAACATACTTTGCCAAACAATAATTTGCTAAACAATAATATGCCAAAAAAGACATTTGCGAATTAAAAGTTTGCAATAAGTTGTTTTGCCAAATGAGAATTTGCCAAATGAAAATTTGCGAAACGTTTTTTGCCATGTGATAATTTGGGAAACGTTTTTTGGCCAAACATTAGTAATCCGGGTTAAATATATTAATGAGCACACAAATATTCTGTTGTTTTTGTATCGTTAAAGGACGAGAGATGCTACGAGAATTAAATATGCTTTTTGTGGAACCTGTACTTAGTTCATATTGAAACTGAAATTGAATGTAAAGTTCTTTTCAAGAATAACCTATCAATCTCTAGCCCTAGTGAAGTTAGAAAATAAGAAACTTAAAGCGGTTTCTTTTCGTAGCTACGTATAATGTGGGTCAGTATTATGGTATAATTCATAATATTTATATCTACATAGATTCTTCGGCCGTTTGGTGTAGTGGTTCGGAACGGACTACTATGCCGAGAGGTCCCGGGTTTCATTCCCGGCCGGGCAGGAATTGAAATGATAAATTTTAATTTCTGTGTTGGGTCTGGGTGTTACTATGTATAATATGTATGTATTTAAAAAAAAAGTATTTAAGTATATTTATATCTGTTGTCTAGTACCCATAATACAAGCTTTGCTTAGTTTGGGACTAGAAGCGTAGTGTGAAATGTTCAAGGATATTTTTTATTATTTATTTATTACATTTTTCCAAAAACTTTCTACTACAGTGGTATACAATTATTATGCTTTATTGTAATTTTTACGTAAACGACGGTTTTGAAGTATTTCCTTGAAGGGATTTCAGTACAATTTATTTTACAAGCTATTCAGTAACACCGCTTTAGCAGTTACCTATAAATGTCACAACGTGGCGTCAAAGGAGCTGTCAAATAATGTCAAACGCCGCCGTTTACGGGCGCACCGCGCTAAACGCTTTTTACGGCGCAATTACACTGTTTACTAAGCACGTCCGTGCTCCGTGCATCGGGACTAGTGATGTGGTTTGGCTATCGATATTCCACCAATGCTTATCGATGATTTCGATAAACTAATAAAAAGCATTTGATCCTAGGATTTTGCAGCGTGGTGATATTATCTGCTTACTAGGAAGTGGAAAACAAAGTTTTTTAATTGGTAGAGTTTTTTTGTCCTCTAACATGCATTGTAAATATAGTGTTTGTATGAATTAACACAATGTAAGATGTCCTCCATTTGATAGAAAATTATTAAACTGCTGATTTCTTTATTTTGATATAACTAAGGGCACTTAGCAATTTAACATTCGTTTCCTGTCGCAAAATAGTAAAATATTGCTAGACGAATTCAAGAATACTTTAATGCGGGGAGCACGGCAATGTATCATAAACAATGTTTCATCACCTATGTTTATTAACTGTTAAACTGTTTACAGAGATGATGAAACATTATGAAACATTGTGAAACATTGTTTATGAACAGTTTATAAACAGTGTTTATCAACAAATGTTGCCTAATGAATACACGGCTTTACACTGTCAATAAACCTAATCATGCGTTTAAAACTATCGATTACACTTATTAATATTGACACGGGAACATCACTAGCGTGCACATATTTCGGCTGCGGCTTTAAAAGCTTTCGGCTCCGTACGTACGCACAGTTGCGATAAATTATTGTCGAGCTCGAGCTACGTGCGCTGCATTTGAGCTTTATACTTTATACTGAGACTTTAAAAGAACCGTGATAAAATTATTTTTTTATGTCATTGAAACTTTCAAAAGCTCTGCAGTGTTCTCTTTTGGACGCTTGTTTGTTATTTTGTATTAATATTATTGTATCACATTGAACGCAATTGTCCCAAATATTAATTTATTAAAACATATTTCACTATGTAGCTTATACATTAAGTAGATTATAATCCACTTTAAGTTATGATGAGGCTTTTATGGAATACTAGCTTTCCGCCAGCGGCTTCACCCGCGAGCAATTTTGTCTGTCACAGAAAAACTTTATCGCGCGCGTCCCTGTTTCAAAAACTGGGATAAAAACTATCCTATGTCCTTTCCCGGGACTCAAACTATGCCAAATTTCATCAAAATCGGTTAAGTGGTTTAGGCGTGAAAGCGAGACAGACAGACAGAGTTGCGTTCGCATTTATAATATTAGTATAGAAGTATAGATTAGAACATCACATCTTTAGCCATTTGTCGAGTTTAACTTAATGTATAACAAGCTTAACACTGTAGCACTTTATGCAGTTCTAATAAATGCGATTTTGCATCAAATATGTAACGTATCTGGTGTACTGACGGCTATGCAAAGGTCTCATTATTATTTCTTTAACACTCACGAAAGAATATTGTTATGAATACAAAGTGGTTAACAACAACCATACAAACAAAAGTCAATTCCAAATGGATTCTGGAGTACACGGCTGGTGAACGCACAGAGTAGAAAGATTCAGTAGCTTCGGTATGAACAAGTTGAATGTTACTATATTGTGGATGCCATAAAGTTATTTTAAAATAAACACAGTACTAAAATATCATCATCATCATCATCGTCATCATCTCAGCCATAGGACGTCGATTGCTGAACATAGGCCTCCCCCAATGTTTTCCATGTTACCCGGTTGGTAGCGGCCTGCGTCCAGTGCTTTTCTGCTACCTTTATGATGTCGTATTGTATTGTGTCTTTACACAATACATGGTGGACCGACGACATCAGTATACTTTTATACTTGTAAGTAAATCTGCAATTGTATTCAAAACCAAAGCTAAAATTTTTTTTAGCTTTGGCTTATAAAAAATACTATAAAGTTTTGCTTTTACTTTTACATCTTTTACATGCCTTTACATTATTTACATGTCTCATAATCTTTTTGCTCTACCAGCGTTTTGAGGCCAACATTTGGCAAGTGCTGAGAAGAAACGCCGCAACAAACTCAGTCACTATCACTACTGTCTGCCGGTTGAAATATTGGCTACTACTGAGTCAGAGATCGTGGATTTGATTTCGGTACAATAAACATTGGGCAAGAATACTGCTTGCGGTTTTTTAGTTATTTCTACAGGTAATAAGTATTAATCCTTCAAGGCCCGCGAATCTAGACACAATAGATAATCAATTGTTATGACATTAATGAATGCCGTCTGGGACTCAAGCGGTTAAGCACAATTATTTGGTTTAAAATGATATCGCAGTAACCTAAGTTGCTTGGTTAGGGCAGTATGACATTGAGGATTATTAGTATGAAATATTGGATTATTTTTGAGTCGGCGGTTTGAAAAGATTGTTACCTAAGCTTATTGCCAAAAGGCCAAATATTAACTTAATTAACTAAGTCAAGCAAAGCTCTAGCTTATGTTGTTTCTGCTTCAATTTCCATTATGGTGGACGACAGACATTTTATTTATACACCGAGAATGTCCCTGAATTGAGTTTCCATGTCTGTTAATTCATTGTCGTGTGGTATATCGAGTTATTTGTAGCGATAGATTTGTTTGGCTTGCCCCGGCTTTGCCTTTTGTCATGCCTCTCGTGGCTTGTTTGTGTATTTAGTATTTTTAGTGTTAAGACAGATTGATTGTGAGTTGCATTCGGTAGCTATTTATTTGAGGGTTAATCGCGTTTAGATGTAGCAGTAATAGTTATTTGTTTGCTTAACTATGTTACTCAAAAAACGAATAAATATCTATTAAGTACTTATTTAGTACTTATCTTACCTACTGAAATATTTACGAAAGATCTTATGGTATTTTACTCTTCTATTTTGCGCTGTGTGGACTTCTTAAAACAGTTTTTATTTTCCACTTACACACCTTGTTGGTTTGACACTTTGACAGTTCTGCTGACTGCGCGTGCGAGTGACACGCGCAGCTCAAAATGCGTTATTGACAGCTCGAGTTAGAAGCATTTATTAATAAAAATGTAAGTACGAGATACCGTTGCTGAGTCACCAGCACGGGCGAACACATAATTAATAAAACACACCAAAGTATCAAATATGTTCAAAATAAAATTCAAACACACTCACCATCTTGCTTCACAGTATTCCCCAGCGGCCCGCAGCTGGCCAGCCACACAAAGAGGATCCACCTCAGCATCAGACCAAAGCCTCCTCTCTGCAGCTCGGGCTGATTGTGGAAGTGCCTGACAGTAGGCCGGTACGGCGCGGAGCTCGGGCGCGGCATGCTTGACAGCTCACATTGACAGCTCTGACAGTTTGACAACTAAAAATATCAGCGTGAATAGGTTGGTAACACTGCACTGTCATTTGCAAAAAAAAGCCAACGTTGATAGCACTTCACAGTTTCATCACTTTACATTTGATTCACTGGAATTGAAATGGAACATCGATATTGCGTTGTCAATACTCAGTTTTCGGACTACCAGCAGTTTTTTTAACAAAATCAAACATTAAAATTTATGAATGTCAAAATGTTTGAATAAGATCGTTGTTCAATTTTAAATTATGCAGCAGCTGGCTCTCTGTTTAACAACGGTCACACATAGTCTTTTATTCAAACTAAATCAGATTTTCGCCCGTATTCACATTACTATGAGGTCTCACAGTGCACGTGGACGAACAGGGTGACACATGAACCAACCACAGAGCTCTATTTAACGCTGTGCGTTCTGTTATGAGCCTCTGGGGATTTGGNAGCGACTAGCGGCCTGCGTCCAGCGCTTTTCTGCTACCTTTATGATGTCGTCGGTCCACCTTGTATTGTGTAAAGTATACTTGTAAGTAAATCTGCAATTGTATTCAATGCCAAGGCTAAAATTCCTTTGTTTGCATGGTCTAATAAAAAATACTTTAAAGTTTTGCTTTTACTTTTACATCTTTTACATGCCTTTACATTGTTTACATGTCTCATAATCTTTATGCTCTACCAGCGCTTCGAGGCCAACATTTGGCAAGTGCTGAGAAAAAACGCCGCAACAAACTCAGTCACTATCACTACTGTCTGCCGGTTGAAATATTGGCTACTACTGAGTCAGAGATCGCAGGTTTGATTTCGGTACAATAAACATTGGGCGAATACTGGTTGCGATTTTTTAGTTATTTCTACATGTAATAAGTATTAAGCACATTTATTTGGTTTAAAATGATATCGCAGTAACCTAAGTTGCTTGGTTAGGGCAGTATGACATTGAGGATTATTTGTATGAAATTTTGGATTATTTTTGAGTCGGTGGTTTGAAAAGATTGTTACCTAAGCTTACTGCCAAAAGGCCAAATATTAACTTAATTAACTAAGTCAAGAAAAGCTCTAGCTTATGTTGTTTCTGCTTCAATTTCATTATGGTGGACGACAGACATTTTATTTATACACCGAGAATGTCCCTGAATTGAGTTTCCATGTCTGTTAATTCATTGTCGTGTGGTATATCGAGTAATTTGTAGCGATAGATTTGTTTGGCTTGCCCCAGCTTTGCCCGTTGTCATGCCTCTCGTGGCTTGTTTGTGTATTTAGTCTTTTTAGTGCTAAGACAGATTGATTGTGAGTTGCATTCGGTAGCTATTTATTTGAGGGTTAATCGCGTTTAGATGTAGCAGTCACAGTTATTTGTTTGCTTAACTATGTTCCTCAAAAACAAATAAATATCTATTAAGTACTTATTTAGTACTTATCTTACCTACTGGAATATTTACGAAAGACCTTATGGTATTTTCCTCTTCTATTTTGCGCTGTGTGGACTTCTCAAAACAGTTTTAATTTTCAACTTACACACACCTTATGTTGGTTTGACAGTTCTGCTGACTGCGCGTGCGAGCGACACGCGCAGCTCAAAATGCGTTATTGACAGCTCGAGTTAGAAGTATTTATTTATAAAAATGTAAGTACGAGATACCGTTGCTGAGTCACCAGCACGGGCGAACACATCATTAAAAAAACACACCAAAGTATCAAATATGTTCAAAATAAAATTCAAACACACTCACCATCTTGCTTCACAGTATTCCCCAGCGGCCCGCAGCTGGCCAGCCACACAAAGAGGATCCACCTCAGCATCAGACCAAAGCCTCCCCTCTGCAGCTCGGGCTGGTTGTGGAAGTGCCTGACAGTAGGCCGGTACGGCGCGGAGCTCGGGCGAGGCATGCTTGACAGCTCACATTGACAGCTCTGACAGTTTGACAACTAAAAATATCAGCGTGAATAGGTTGGTAACACTGAACTGTCATTTGCAAACGAAAAAGCCAACGTTGGTAGCACTTCACAGTTTCATCACTTTAGATTTGATTCACTGGAATTGAAATGGAACATCGATATTGTGTTGTCAATACTCAGTTTTCGGACTACCAGCAGTTTTTTTAACGAAATCAAACATAAAATTTATGAATGTCAGAATGTTTGAATAAGATCGTTGTTCAATTTTTTATAAATTACGCAGCAGCTGGCTCTCAGTTTAACAACGGTCACACAGTCTTTTATTCAAAGTATATTAGATTTTTTTTTAAGTAACTACCCTCCATATCTTTTAGTAATTTGGTTAATACATTAAGCAGACCTACACGTTAACTGGTATACAGTTAAATGCTAAGCTCGACTGTTGTTACCCTGTTAACAAATACAAAATAGTCGTACTTAAGTTATTAGACGTTTCAATAAATTAGGTGAAGTAGTTTTATAACTAGAAATAACCATCACTTATCCAACTGTCACTTTAATGATTGAAATATAAAGGATTTGCCACGCTGAATGCGTTCTGCGGTCAGGTTAAATTGAACGCAGGCCGCAACATGTATGAACACATTTGTTAAGCAATTTGTTAGGCAACAATCTGCGGTTTGGGAAAGACAATCTGTCAGCGTTGCGTTCTTTGCTCGTGCCCGCACGGTCAGATCGCATCAATACAAAACCTAAAGAGAGCGACAATGTTCACATGATGAGGGCTGCGTTCACCTGACCGCTGATCGCAGATCGCATACAGTGTAGCACATCCTTAACAGATAATAAGCTTGTAAGACTTCATTGCTAAAGCGTTTATGAAATTCAAGGAATGTTTTACTTCATGAAGTAAAGGAACAACGAAATTCTGCGTAAAACTTACTCCTTAGTCGGTTCATTACGAACTTTAAACTCAATATCATCGCTTTAAAAGACAAGAGCAAAAATTTTCATTATGGACTACTTAATTTTAGCAATTCTACGAGCTATGTCGGTCACTTTGGTACTCCTGCGGATCTCCTAATTTCTGATTCGATCACGCAGGGAAACTCCAAGCATAGCCCGCTCCAGCTGCGCTCCATGTGGGCAGCTGCATTGTGGAAAACCTTGGAGGAGGCCTTTGTCCAGCAGTGGACGTCATTTGGCTGAAACGAAACGAAACGAACTAACTACTTAATTGTGTACTACTTCTTGCGTGCGGGTTCGCTTTCGCTGCTTGCAGTCTGAGGAAGTGATATTATAGGTGAGACAAACTTTTATCCCTACCTCTATCTGTAGGATACCTACAGCCCAGTCCAGTCTATCTATCGCTAATTAGTTTAGTGGTTTAGGCGATAAAACAATACGTAGGTAAGGCCGTCAAAGTAGGTACGAGCGAATATGCTTTTTCAGGACACACTTGCTTATCATATGTAGATATATTACTTTTACACTCTTCATTGCATTTTTTATCACTAAATCACAGTGTCATTTTGTTCATTATACCTGAATGAAAATTGTTGGATATCCTTGTAAAAATCGTAAAGTATCTTATGGCAAAGCGACCGATCTTCTTATAAATTATCACTATAAGCATCAAAACACTTTTATAAAGGTAAAAACGAATTTACACTCCTGACGTTTGAAGTCGGTTGCGTGAGTCATGGTCGCGGGCAGACTGAAGAATGCGGCGGCGTCTGCTCAGGCGCGATGAATTTTCTTCACCCACCCGCATTTGCACAATATTTTCGTCCTTAGTACAGTCTGACAAACTGTTTATTTATTTATTTGATCACCAACAAGGTTACATTAAGGCTTCACAAAAGTAACTATAAAAAATTACACTTGTTATGCAAACTTAATTAAAGGTGAAAACATCATGCGTTAGAGACTAAAGCAACAGCAATTAGGGGATTCTTCTGGGTTTCTTTGAGACGGCCTGGCCCGGTTGTCTTCTTCTATCAATGACAATATATTTATTTAATTGCTTGCCACGCTTGCTATTAATGAGGATGGTAAAATAAATATTTAAGTTTCCTTGGGTTTTATATTACTTTTATTCTGTGTCAGGCCTCATTTTAGATTCTATCCTTGCGAGAGACCCCGAGCATGCTCCATAGCTGAGCAACTTTGAATTGGAGACGCTCATGATTAAACAATCCAATATGAGAGTGGATCTTACAACGTAACTAGTTAAGTATAAAAGGTTTAAATTAATTGTGTTTGTTAACAAATCTTGATTACTAAGCAGATAATTCAAAAACAACAATAATTCTAAAAAACAAATTCTTTAAAATACACTTCAATCTAGCCCTGAAAACCGAGTAAGAATTCAATTTGTTGTAGGTATAATAATTCTATTTTAGTAGCTTTTTAAATCAACAATTTGTTAGTCAAATGATATAGTTTGCGAACTGGTGACGGAGTCGCATGTTGGCAGATCATAAAAAGTATTGATAGTTATTTTATTATCACGGTATTGCGTCCACTACTCTATTGAATTCACTTTTGATTGCTGAGTAGGTATGACAGAAAAAAATTGCAATTCAATGGATTTTGAAATAATTTTGTACGAGTAGAGCTTCTGAACTTAAAACAATGGCGTCTTAAACATCTTGAGCCAGTGCCACTCGCTTTTCAATAATAACCTCTAAATTGTGTCCAGAAATTTAATTTCCGTGGTTTTCCCGAACTGTTGGTGCGCCTTAAAGCCTTTAAGGCTTAATTCGAAGGCCAAAATGAAATGATGATAACTCGCAATTTCCTTGCCGTTAAATCTGTTTAGGGACAATGGAACAATCAACGCCTCGGCGTTATAATGTCTTGTTTTAACCTGTTAATATTATCCAGAATTAAAACCGGGCAGAAAATACAGAGGCTCCAAATTGAGGTTCCAATTTAAGAGAGTAAGAGTTCTTAAATAGGAGTGATTAAATTGTTTTCTTTCCGTGGTTTTTGTAACATCTTAGCACTATCTTATAAGTTGTTATAGCATCATTTATTTTACTTTTTTTACGTAGGCCATTTTGCGGTATAGTCCCACGATTCTGAAAAGATAAGTGGCAAAGATCAAAAACTAAACCCAGTATTGATATTAGCGCCCTCCGTTACTGTCATATTGTATGATTGTCCAATGTGGCAATAATCGGAACTAATAATCCAGCATAGACAGCAGTGCCCT